TTTTTTTTTTTTTTTTTTTTTTTTTTAAGATTAGTAAATATTTTTCTGATATTTAAAAAAAAAATAATAACAGAATAATAACATCTTTCTGCTTAATGTGCTGGTGCAAATAAATAAAATTTTACCTTTCCATCATTCTCCATTTTTTTTCATTTTTTTTTTTTTTTTTTTTTTTTTTTTTTTTCAGGAAATGTAATGTCATTTCTTTTATACATAACACTACATATCTCCATATCAGTGACTTCTGGATTTTATGTATAATATTTGCCCCCTTTTTTTTCTCACTGTTATTTTTATGAGATATTCTTAGAAAGAAAAAATAATAGTTTAACATTTTTTACAAGGAAATAGATACATTAGCAGGAGGCAACTAAATGAAAGACAAGGTAGGCCAAAAAGGATGAAAAGATATAGCTGTGATTTTTAGAGGCTTAACTTAAATCTTGCAAAGACTTGATGGCTGAAATAAACTATACTTTGATGGGTCAAGCTTAACTATAACAGCCGAGTTTAAAAAAGAGACATGAACATATCAGAAATTACTTTCACTGAAAATACCTAAGACATATTTTAAAAACAAATCATACCTTCAACACCATGCATGGTTCTGATTCTGACTTAATCCAATAAAACAGTCAAAATGACAAATGTTTGTGGATCTCGTAGATCTCATGTGTCAAAGGTACACAAATAATGCATCAGACAGAAAAAATTAAGAATCAATTAATATTTTGATTTAATATAGCAATCAATCATTAATTCAAATGAGTCAATCATTAATTCAAATTTCAGCACTTGTTTGTTATTCTAGCAGATATGGATGTAGTAGTCAAAAGATACAGGTAAAAGAGGGCACAACACCAAATTTTCACCATTGGTTTTATATAGTCTGATCACACTAAGCAGCTCTGTTAAAATTTTGATAAACATTTTGAGGGGAGGGATATGGATCCGAGGGTCTCCCAACCCTCTTTCTCTAGCACCAAAACACTCAAGAAAACTTTTGACTTGCCAGTATTGTAAGTGAATCTTTAATGCAGACTTAGAAACATGCAAGCCTTTAGCACAACAATAACACAATCAGCATTACTGAATAGTACATTCATCAGAAAAGCTGCAATAGTCAACAATATAATTTTTTCAATGAGTAAGCATCATTTCTGTTCTTTAGAAGTAATAACAGCAATTAATTCAGAGATTAAAATGACAGTCTTTTGACCAACTGTACATACAACCACTTACCTGACAGTGGATATTACCTAGCTATAACTTACAATATACTTTCAAAGCAGTTCTTATGCTGCACTACTTGCCTTTGCAGTCATATTAATTCCATCATAGAAGATTGCAAATGTCACCTTGGATGGTATGGAGGTTAATGGAGGGTGAATCTGCATTTGTGGCTTATTTCACCCCATCGACAGTAACATCCGATGAGGCCTCTGATATCAGAGCAAGCCCACGAAATTCATCGCAACAAGGGATAAAGTTTGTGCCTGTTGTTGGCATGAAACTTAAATACCATATAGGTGACAATACGTATTTGCTCAGTTCTGTTCCCAATTTTGTAGGAGAGCACCCAGGACACAGATCCAAGTCTCCACCCTTCTACCCCTACCACCAACCTCTGGAGAAGATTTTTGACTCACCGCATATTTAAAGTGCTCCCATGGCGCATAGACACTATTACATTTACAAACATCAATGCCTTCTTCTGGATTCGAACCCGGGCCCTTCAGTGTGACTCTCAGCATCACTAACCACTATCCCTTTTGGGCGACAGAGGATGAATCTACACAAAACCAATGATATATATTCATTTCACACATAATGTTTGGCTGTATGTGTGTGTCTTTTCCCTCTTCGCGTCATGGATGCAGTATCAGTCTAATCTTCTAATGCACTATGCATCTTCACAATCAGATAGTTAAGTGACAAATGGATCAGACCATTTCTGATTAAGGTTTTCCGACAAGTTTTTGACCATTAGGGGAAAAAATAGCAGATAGAGTATTACATATCTCAAATAATGCACTAACGATTGAAAACAAGGTTATAACAGGGAGATGGCTGTAACACAAATACATATGAACGCGTATACTAAGTAAAAATTGAGTATTTAATTGTTTTTAAAAGGAAACTTCAAACTGTTCAAAACACATATGTTAATTCCCTGAGTAGCAAGCTTTTAGATAGCATTTCTCAGCATTTTCTTCAAATACAGCATTTCTTAACTACACTTGTACAACTGATTTTATTCTTGGTTTTTACAACCTTTGGTTCATTAGAATGATATCCATCATTACTGATAAGGCAGCAAAAAAGTTATTTAAGATATTTTGCATTACCTGCAAGTATATAATACAGTTGATGTTCATTATAATGACTCCTCGCATTCCAGGTCATCATACATCATAACAAGCTGTAGCAAGTTGTGGATTTAATGTTGTGTTATTAACAAGTCTAGTTTAGTTTGTTACGACAAAGCACACTAGGGCTATCTGCCTAAGGGAAGGAATGCCTTTATAGAAGACTTTATAAGGGAGTTGGCTCGTATACACCTTACAGATGAGGAAAACCCATTAAAACACCCATTCAACCAGCCTGTTCGCCTGGATTCAAACCCAGGTTGGAACTACCAGTGCTCACTGATTTTACTGCTCTGCTACTGGTGTGCCTTCTTATTAACAGGAAATATTTTATTCCGATGGCTGTAATGGAATGGTCATCGAGCAGTCGTTCAAACCAACATCAACTATATCTAAAAATTAGCAGCAAATACCATGACCAAATAAAAGTAGTCAAGCTACCCACAAATTAAATTATAAACTATTAAGTTATCTCACAAAATCATGCTTTAAATAAATGCTAACCTTTGAAAAAAATTAGCTTATTTCTCACACCTTAATTACTTGTCAGTAAAAGATCATAACAAAGTACAGAAATATAGTACTGATAACGACGATAGTGCAATATGCAACAAGTTTGGTAAGAACAAAAAATTAAGGTAAATATTAATGTGAAAGCAATCAAAATATTTATAGATTACAATTTCGAGAGTTTCCTTAGGCGTTAAAAATATGAATATGTTTGAATATTAATATATTTGACTAACCCCTCAAAAACTCTACAGTGCTATAAGTCCTATTTTTAAATATTATTTTCTTCATTACTGATATTTCTTTAAAGCATTTAATTATTATAACTAGAAAGAAAAATCTCCTGTGGTTTTCTTTCTTTTTCTTAACACATTTGCAATGGTATATTGCAAAAGCACAGCACTTCAATGAACTATTTCAGTTCTTTCTGGTTTGATAGCACAGTAATAAGTTAATGAGCAGGCGATAATTCAACACACATATTTCAAACTAATAGGAAGGGTTTTAATTATTAGCAGTTTCTGTCACTTTTTTAATTTAAAAAAAGTAAATTTTATGCTACAGTCTATTTGAATGAAACCAGTTATATTTTTTATTTTCTTTTTCCAGTTATAATTTTCTTTGAATACTGGCATCAGCACATATAAATTTATTTGAAATTTCAAAAAGAAAACAGAGCAATAAAAATGTATCATAATAATTACATTTCACAGTAAAATAGAAAAGGCTACAGAAATGATTTAGTGCTTTTGATCACTGATAATGTTTAAACTTGCACTTTTTCCTCCCAATTTCCACTGTATGATGCAAATTAATTAATTTCTGCATTTGAACAATTCATTTAAATTGTCTTAACTTTTACCTACTACTAGCAAAATTCTACAGAAATACCTAACTAGAAACTAGGCAAATTTTATTATTGTGCTTCTTTTTAAACCTTTTATTTTGATTTGGGAGTATTTTACTCACCTTTGTTAATCAGCCGAGTAACATGCATCTCTGAATTACTATACTATGTCCCATAAGGTGTTTTACACACTGGAGTTATTTAACAATATTTCATCTGCACAGGAAATTGATACTTTTGCAAAGTTTCATTTTTTTAAATGTCTTATTTGCAGCTTCTGGTTAACTGATGTCTTGTACACTAAATTAAGAACCACACAAACAAACAAACATATTAAAGAGATACGTGGAAAATTTTTAAGCTCAAATTTAATAGGTTTTTTTTTTTTTTATTCTAACATATTTTTTTTTTCTTCCCAAGCATAACTACACCTATTTTAAAAGGCTTTATGAGAAATCGGTAGAATAATGTCTATTTTTGTCTTTTGGCTAAAAGACTTTTTGTGTTAAAATTCTTTTGTTAGTCAATTAGGGCAAAACACAGAGAGGTTTTTCAAGGCTTCTTTGAATTCAAATTTCAGGTATATAAGTACCCATACAGCAGTCCACTGAATAATATCGTTGCTTTTTAACTACAGAATGCATAAAACTGGTTTCAAAGTTTACTATTAAATACATATGTATGTAATTCTTCTTTACATAACAAATATTTTTTTCATTGTGGAACCCTTTACTCTTAATATTGTGGCCCTCTCTTCCTGGCCTCATAATGCAAATTGAATTCCAGAAAAATACCTGTTTAAATTTACATAAAAGAATAAATATCAAATAATTAATTATAAAAAATTAATTCACACAGACATTTAAAATCTTTTAAACCATAAATGCAAAATCAGATAATTACAAAAGATCTCAATTCCCCACCCCTCTTAAAATGCATTATTTTATGTAGTTTCTAATGCTTAGTATGTCGACTCCATATATTGATATTTGCGTCTAAAAATATCTACACAAAGAATATGTAAAATTTGATAAATAACATCTAACAATATAATAAATTAAAAATTCATCGAAATATAATTTAAACGTATAAAATCTTCAACAGCATTCACACAGCTGCAGAAAGCAATTTATGTTTCTGGTACCTGTGAAAAAGGTGTGATCGCTTGGCTAAAAAATGTAATACAATATATATACATAACATGTATCATACAGTAAACTAATCTCAGAAATTTGAAATTTTACAGTGAAAAATAATTTTTAATAGAAACTTACCCATTTCAAGTTATTAGTCCACTTTCAGTAATGATTCTACGCCGATTAAAAAAAGAAAACAACTGCCTGGAAACTTACTAACAACTTGCTGAGATACAACACTCAGTTTAAATCACCCTACGCGCGTAAATTAAATACGAATGTCTCTTTCCTCATGCACTCAAGTTAGTCACTACTTCTTCCGACAGAATCACGAAGAGCGCTAGAACGTGTTTCAGCCAGCTAGCTTACATTTTGGTTGGTCCATAATATGCAAGTCGCTGAAAAATTAAGTAACATCCTAACTTTAAGCTTAATTACTTTTTTATATTTAGTACAACAAGCACATATTTTTTAACGTTAAGTGAGAATCTTCTAAGATTCCTAAAGTATAAAAACAGGCTCATTATTTAGTCATAATGCATTTTTTTATAATTTTTTTTTGATGGATTAAATCTAAAAGAGATAACATATTTCAGCATTCTATGCATTTTTTACAGGGGAAATTTTTAATGGAAGTTGCATCAGTGCTAGTTAACAGCACTAATATTGCTGCTATAAACATTGTTGTTTAAGCGCATGACACTGACATTCTTGGGAATAAAAGCAAGCTGATCAACATAACATATTCTTTCAACGAGTGTTATACTTCCTGGATTTCTAGAAGGAATTAACCCTATAATATTTCCAAAAACGTGAAATTCACTACTTTCTCTAATATCAGAAAAATGTTGTACCTATCTGTCAGGGACAAAAATGCTTTCTTTATTCCGGAGATAAGTAACTGCCTCACAAAGAGCCTATAGAGCATTCAAAGAGTTTTTAAAATTCTTTGAATACTCCAAATATCAAAACTGATTGAACAATCCACTTCCATACTGGTCTCGGCGTTTGGTTGGTTGGTTGGTTGGTGTGCTGTCCTTTGAGAAGTCAAATGGATCCCTACGTGGAAATCACTGCTTTTGCTATGTCCACTATTTTTTTACTATACACTTCTCCCTGGAAACGAAATTTCCCCAAGGATTGCAGAGCTGCAAGTACTGCCGGACATATGAAGATGTGCTTCGAAGACAGCTTCTTCGTTTCGGGGCAGTTTCTTCAAGTTCTATATGATCTGATACCATCTTGATTAATTTTCATTCCTCTAAAGTGACGGATTCTCAGTCTAGTAACGGTCTTTCTGATTTTTCTGTTTGAATCAATTTCACATATCTGATGGTCTTTCTTAATAGATTTCTCTTTGAGTCTATATCTGGCAATGGGATTAGCATCTTCAAGAGTAACGGGGATTGAGCTGTTGAGATTTCTTGCCAGTTCATCGGCTGCCTTGTTTCAATCGATTCCAACATGTGCAGAGCAGAGCCTGGAGCCATGTTCGCTCACGCTCAAGAGGAAGCAAGCTTGATCCTAAAGCTACAGAATGTGTTTTTGTGGCATATCCCAAAGAAGTTGAGGGCTACAAATTGTATGATCTGAAGGAGAAACATTTTTTTGTCAGCAGAGATGTCATTTTTGAAGAAAATGTTTTCCCCTTAAAACTAAGCAAGTGTGACAATCCTGCACAAGAAGCTATTCTTAAAATTGAAGACTTTGAATCAGAATATCCCTTGGACCTACCTGAAACAGAAGCTCGTGACTCATCTCTAGATCACATAACTCCTGATGTAAATGACTCAGAGGAAACCCAACATCTAAATACAGATCCGATTGACCAAAATTCTGAAAGATGTCCAGACCTACACCTTGAAAATACTCCAGATTACGAAGACGAAGGCCAATCAGTTACACAGATACAAGACGTTGCTAACAACCTAGACCCTGAAGTCGAAGCAGCAGCCTAAAGTCCTACCATGGGAGTGAGAGAGGTGAAAAAAGAAAGCACCAGATTTCCTAAACATTTCGAAGATTTTTATCTGTACGATGCTTAAGAGATACAACAATCTGAAGAAAAGCACCCAGCAACTCTAAAATATGTCCTGAAATCACCCGAAGCTGGCATGTGGTTAAAAGCCATGGAGGAAGAAATTCAGAACCTCACTCAAGCTCAAACCTCGGAACTAACTACGGAACCACCAGAAGCTAAGCTAATATCATCCAGACGGTTGTTTCGTAAGAAAAAAAGACGAGATTGGGAGCCGAGCAAAACTCAAAGCCAGATTGGTGGCAAAAGACTATCTGCAAATACCCGGAGGGGACTTTTCACCAGTCATCAAACTTAACTCTATAAGGTTACTGCTTGCTGTAGCAGAGAAAAACCTAGAGGTTCACCATCAAATGGATGTGACAGCTGCATACCTTAATGGAATTCTAAAAGAGGAGATATATATGGCACAGCCAAAAGTGTGCATTGAGAAAGGGAAAGAACACATTGTCTGCCACCTGAAGAAAAGCATTTGTGGTCTCCGACAATCAGGACGTGCATGGAATACCTGCTTGAACGACTTCCTGATCCAGTATGGATTGAAAAGATCAAGTGCATACCTTTGTATTTACTTTTGTCAGGAGAAGAACATCATAATTAGAGTTTATGTTGATAACCTCCTGATAGCTGGAAACATGCCGGAGATAAATTAATTCAAGGAAAACATCAAGAAAAGGTTCAATGTCAAAGACCTAGGTCCTGCAATTTGATCAAGGAAATATGTAGTGAATTAGCTGCTTCACCTCAAAAAGTGCTAGTCGACACCCAAGGAGCAATCTTCTTAGCCAATAACCATGCTACTTCTGAAAGAAGTAAGCACATCGATTTAAATTTCATTTTCTGAGAGTATAGTGAAAGAAAATGTGATTGTATTTGATCATGTGCCATCCAGCGACAATCCCGCTGATCTCCTAACTAAGCAGACCTCGAAAAAACTTTTATGTGACATGAACTATGCCAGGACTTGCATGTAAAAATAATCTCCTTTGAAATTTATGACTGAACATAAACCATTATGGTTGTAACTGTGTAGATCCAGAAAGAAGCTTAGATACAAATTTTTCTTAATTATTTCTATATAAACATTGTGTTTCCTAGTATAACTTAATATGTGTTCATTTAATGATAGAATTCATAAGTAGAGGTCAATAGTGTTTATGCATGTAATAGCAGCTACATTGATCTTTTGTAATGTGTACAACCACAGCGTGATTAATTTTTTATGGAAGTATGTAAATATCTTGCACATAGTGTGACTGGCAAAGGGGCGTGTTAAAAAAATAATATATATGTGCCAATTGCAATATTTACATTATGTTAGTTTGGCAAGAGTGGTGTTGTTGTCGTTTCGTCCCTATCTGGTGTGCATTGCTCTGGTTGCTTGCTTTCATGTAACCTAAATACAGGGGTTGGACAAAAATATAGAAACACCTTTAAAAAAACATATTTCTTTGCTTAATATGGTGTAGGAAACCCGTTGGCAAACAAAACAGCTTGCAGTCTTCTCGGAATGGATAAATACAGTTCCTGTATGTTTGCCAAGGGAATATTATACCATTCTTCCTGCAAAACGGTGGCAAGTTCAGATAACGATGTTGGCGGTGGATAACGAGAACGCACTTTCCGTTCCAACGTAGACCACAAAGGTTCGATAATATTCAGGCTGGGACTGTGGTGGCTAGGGGAGATGGGACAACTCATCCTCGTCTCAGAAAACCATCCTGGACAATGTGAGCTGTGTGAACAGGGGCTTTGTCGTCTTGGAAGACACCATCACCATGGGGAACAAAGTTTGTACCATGGGATAACTTGATCGGCCAAAATGTCACATAAGTCTTGGCAGTCATGTGCCCTGACACAGTTATCATGGGGCTAGCAGAGAACCACGATATGGCTGCCCAACCACAACAGAACTCCCGATATGTTTCACTCTTGGCTACAAGCAGTCTGTATAGGCTTGAGATGGCGTTCTCCAACGTAAACTCGGCCAGAAGTGGGAAACAATGTGAAAGAACACTATCAGACCATATTACTATCGCTTCCACTGCTCTATAGTCCGGCTTTATATTAAACACCACCTTTTCCTATTACGGGCATTAGCTCACTGTGAGTGCTTCTCAATTGCAGCACGGCCAGCAATTCCCTGTTTATGAAGCTCCCTTTAATTGTTTGGTACTCACAGGGTTCGGTAACACAACATTCATTTCAGCAGTAACTTTTGCAGCTGTGGTCTTATTTTTCGTCACAATTGCCCTTAATGATCGTCTGTCACGTCCTCAGACACACTTTCGTCCGCACTGTGATTTAGAGATGTTTTTTTTCCGCTTTTCAAATATGCGGATAAATCTTCGTACAGACCTCTTGAAACACTAAACACCTCGGCTACCTTGCTACGGAAGCACCTACATACGTGCTCCAACAATTTGCCCACGTTCGAAGTCTGTTAACTCTGACATATGCAATGACAACTCACATAACAGTATCCCACACTAACTTTTAGCACATTTACGAAGTTTTATAGGTGGCGTCAGTAGTCAAAAACGCCAGCGCCACCTACATATTTCATTAAAATCAATCTTTCTTTTCAAACATGCATTTCACAAGGTGTTTCCATATTTTGTCCATCCACTGTATTCTCAATATATATTTGATTTTTCAACCTGGACTATGTCATTTATTTACTCACGAATAATTTAAATTTTAACAGAATGTCCCTGCGGTATTGCCTGTATGGCAGCCTTAGAGTCACAGTAAATTACAAGTCCGCTGGCTTTATCATTATCATTGCTAGGATAGGGGAACGCCTTTTTCGGGGTTTTTTTACGTATTTCATTTTCCTTCTACCTTCCGAGGTATTTCATTTCCCATCTACCAACAGGCAGAATTCCAACCTCTTGAGGGAATGGCAACCAGTTTTCCTTGAGAGGTCATTTTATGGATCTAGATCAAGCAAGATCTTGGTATTTATGCCGCTGATATGCGATAACTGTTTACAAACAATGATGTATATTTGCTTATTAAAAGTAATCAGTCACTACTGCAGCCTTCATTAATAATGCGATAAAGCTGCTATTTTTATCAAAATGGGACGGTTGGAAGGTGTGCAAAATCTGAATCTATACCATTTAAAACAGTACGTATGTTTGGCCGACTTTAAGGCCCAACAAAAGTATGCGGAATTCGGATTGTTATTCTAAAATCTACAACTAGGTACATTATTATTAGACAATCAGGGTGATT